GGAGAACGTTATTACAAAGCAGTATGTAAATTACAGGGCTGGAAGACACTTTAGGATCAATCAGCAGCTCAGCCGGTGGTGAAGCTGCACCTATAAGACCATGGCAAGTCTGTGTAACCTACTGGCCTCATGCTCTTTCGCAATGCATTGCTGCCCCTTCAGAGAAACTAAGTAAGATGCTACTAAAAGATAGCATAACAAAAAACTTTTTAAAGTAACAAGATTAAAAAAACTAAAAAGACATAAAAAGTCAACAAACACAGTAACAATGTTTTTGTTCTTTTAAAATTTTAAGCTAACATATATAAATGGATGTTTCACTATAACTACTATTGCACATCTTTGTTCTGTTTATACGACAGTTGGATCTACTCGTAAGAACCCTCATTGTGTACACTGCTTATGTATTTCTCCTGTTCTGTCTCGCCATCCATTTGTGTGAGTACCTTGTATGGTAGATAGGAACCCTTTGTTCTCTGGGCAATGAAAATGAGGTCACCCATTGGTCTTTTTAGCAATATACAAAGATGTTCTCCTTTACTCTTATAGTTTGAGTTTAATCTTGATTAAGATCCTTACTTAGAGACTATACACACAGTCTAGAATTTATTGTAAGATACTTTGTTTTCTGTATTTAAATTTTAATATTGCATTTCTCAATGAATGTACCTTTGACAATTCCTAGCTCACTAAGTGTCAGAAAAGCTACTACACCATCAAAAGCATTCTCATATCCAGATGTGGTGGCACAGGACTGTACTACTAGCATTCTAGAAGCAGGACAATTCTGACAGCCTGAGCACAGCAAGACCCCATCTCAAAACAAAACAAAAACTACTTTCAGAAGCCAAGACTCCTACTAGGTAAGGATTGTTTTAATATAACTGCTACATATGGTGTTAAGAAGGGGTCCAACCTAATTTTGTCTGTATGGATAGTTTGCCAATGTCATTTATTTTTATATTTTGTGTTTACTTTGAGAAAGGGTCTTTCTATGTAGCCCCACTTGGCCTGGAATTCCCTATGCAGACCAAGATGGCCTTGAACTTACAGAGATCTGCCTGATCCTGCCTTCTGAGTGCTGGAATTAAAGTCCTGCCCAGCCAGGATCATTTTAAGAAAATCTTCTTTCCCTCTGAATTAAAAATGATTCAATTGAGGGATCTTTCTGTCTCTGGTCACCACAGTGAGAGGAGCTGCTGCCATGTCCAGGCATTTGCAATGGACACCGAGGAACTGCTCTAGATTCCTCATCAAGAGGGATAAGCAGATGTGTAACACCAAGCCCTGTAACTCTTTCTGCTACAAGGGGCTGGCTGCTTCACTACAAGACAAAGGGGTTGCGTGGTCATGACAGGCATATCTATCTGGTCAGTGAAAACCAGCCACTTTTTATGTGAGGACCTCCATCAACAAGAATGCTCGGGCAACCTCAGCAGCACCAGGCACATGATCTGCAAGAACAATTACTTTCTGATGTGGGCATGGTGGCCATCCACAGAGCTAGTGCCATCCCGTGAAGCCAGAAGCCTGTGGTGGTGAAGAGGAAGCCAACCCACACCACCAAGAGCTCTGAGTCCCACAACCCAGAAGCAATAGAGTCCAACAGCTTTTCCAACTACTACCGACTAAAAGAAAGAAAAAGAAAAAAAAAAGTTCAAATCCATTTCATTTCGATTCTCAAATATATTCTGGGCTCCATTTCTGGACTTCCTTTGTCCCACTGATCTAGACCATATTGTACTGCTCTGTTTTGATACAGTCCTTCCCCACTGCTTTTCCTTGTTCTAGTTTTCTTTGCTATCCTCATGTAAATTTCAGGCCACACTCTGGTCTGGGACTTGTCTGGTGTATTACCTTGAATAGTACAGTCCCTAGTTATTCATCAGTCACCTCGAAGGGCATTCTACAAGCATGCTTCAAGGAGAGAAGGAAAGACAGCTAACTCATCCTCCTGAGTAACCTGGAGTGTCTTGGCTGGACCAATGGGAAATTCTTAAAGGCAGAGACTGGGCTTCCCCCAAATGACAAAATCCCTTTGATGGACAGCAGCTTCTTCCTGTGCTCACAGAACTCCCTTCAGCTGTGACTGCCCTAACTGCCTGAGGACAAAAGCTCTGTCTTGTGCCTGTGAGTTCCAGCCAGGCCTTTGATGTGGTCTTCCCATCTTGACTGCCAGCCCTCCAAACTCCAGACTTGCTTAGCAAGCTCCAACAATCATGTAGCAATTCCCCGTAATCAAGTACATGTGTGTCTACATATTATCCACACTAATGCATGGACACACACACTCCTTACTGATTCTGCTTTCTAGGGGTGGAACTCTGAGAGGGTCTGAAACAAAAAAATTTTAATAGAAATGTATTATTCCAATCTATAAATCTAAATTTTGTATAAAGGAAATTTAAATAATTTTTAGAAAATCTAAACATTAAAAAAAGCACAACTTCATATTTCCTAATAATGTATGCAGTAGGGTTTGTGGTTAAGTGGTTTTTTTGTTCTGGAAATGAAACCAGAGTGTCATAGGTGATATACAAGGACTGTACCCCAGCCCCAGACCTCTAACAAAGTCAGTAAAGAAAGAACAAGCCTCTTTGGACATTAGCACTTTTGTTTTGTTATTTTGCCAATTGTTTGGATTTTATTTCACTTGTTCACCTTTTACCTTTATTAATTTCTTCTTAAGTTTCTTCTGGCTTATTTTGCTCCTTTATAAAATGATGAATTTATTTTAAATTAAGAAAAAAACTAGTTTTGTTAAAAAAAAAAAAAAGATCTGGATTGCTACTTTGAGAGTCTAATAGACAAGATATTCTGATACTACTGGACACAATTAAGTGTTGAATAAAAATATATCTTTTGGTCAGCTGTGGTGGTGCACATCTTTAATCCCAGCATTCAGGAGGCTGTTGGGGACCAAGAAAGTTCCATTATGGAATGTCTTAAGGTCTAGCCTCCAGTTTCAGTAAACAGGAGCATCCAGGAGCTCCGGCCTACAATTGTATTGCTAATGCAAGCAAGTCTGCTATTGTATAGCATAGCCTCAGTGTAGAATGCCTCCTAGTTCACATTTCTACAGGACTAAGCATTTGGATAGGCCTGCACCTGGGTGCGAGGTTAAGTGTGTGAGTAACAAGGACAGAGAGTTAGGAGTGATCTAGCAGAGAGGAGTCAACTGAAGGAGACAGAAATGGCCTCCTGGCCTTGGAAGCATGGTTAGAGAACAGACAGGAAGACACCAAATAAAGAAGAGACTCTAGTTTTACAGCATGGAACTGAGATCTCTCTAAAGATGACAAGATGCCTGTGTTTGGTCTTTATCGCCATTTGGTTGCTAGGAGTTTCCAAGTCCACGCTCCCCCACTCAGGCCGAACCTCATGCTGCTGTGGCTTGGGGTTGAGACATGCCGGGCCATGACAGGAGGCAGAGGCAGGAAGATCTCTGTGAGTTTGAGGCCAGCCTGGTCTCTAAAACAAGCTCTAGGATATCCAGGACTACACAGAGAACCCTGTCCCAAAAAAGCAAAACAAAACAAAATAAAATGTATCTTTATAGATGAAGGAACCAGCTTCCCTTTCGGCAGCCATAACAGCCGAACATGTGC